GAGAGTAGTACTAGGGGAAATTTGTCACAGAATCCATTTTCTCCTAATAGTTGCTCAGTTCCAAATTTCCCTTAACCTGCTTTCTTTAGTCCAGTAGCCCTCATGTTTGGCTCTGGCTTGATACAAGCATTTTAAGGATTTATGCTTAAGTATAAAAATGTGAAAATATGTAAGAAGTCCAAGGTAAGGACTGTTTAAAACCTCCACCTGACTAGCAGGGGTTCTGTTCACAGTAAGAAGGAAAAAAAAATGCAGAAAACTCCCGAAGTGATTAATTGCTGACAGTGGGTGAATCTTGTTCTGCAGTCCTGCCTTTCCAGTGGGATTCTTCTACAGCAGGGTGACTCCAGGAGAACAAGTCGAGCTTAGAGATAACCTCCTCAGGCACTCAGGGCATGGAGTCTTCTGCAACAGACTCATAGTATACTTTTGCCCAAGTTAGAAGGCTAAACATTTTCTTCTGTAGTTGGGAGCAGATGCAGAAAGAGGCATTTGCTGTCAGTAATCCCTTTGCAGACATACCTCTGTGGTGAAGTAACCCAGACTGTGTCTCCTCCAAAGGCCAGCACAGCATTTCTGCATGGCTGCCTCGGAAGTGCCCCTGCCTCCTTTCCCGGGAAAGCCCTCAAGCCCAGCTGCATGTTCTGGCACTGCTGCACTTGTAAAGGAATACAGCAAAAAAACAGTTGCAGCAGAGCCCACTGGAGTGAGCAACGGGCTGGGCCAGCGATAGCCAGCCTAGCAAGCACGGCCGCCCAGAGGGGTTGAATTCACGAGCAGCCTGAAGATTTGCTCTCCCGAGCAGAGCCAGCTCAAGTGTATAAATCACCGTAACAGCTTTGCATTCCCCTGGCACGGGGTCTCTGCCTGTCCCCAGGATGCCCGCGCCAGCTGTTGTGCTGTACTGTTCAGGGCTGGGATTACAACATTTGACTGAGTGCCCAAGCCTTAGTCATGTTTCTGCGGCAGAAGCATAACCCAGGCCTCTGATTCAGGGTAACCGGCAAGGGCTGTAAATTGCAATTTCCTAGGCACAGTCTAGAAAACGAAGAGAAAGTGAAAACACACCAAAACCCACATAACGTGCTTTATGTCAGGCTCCTAAACCTGCTTGGGGAAATGTCTCTTGGTTTCCTAGTGGATCACAGGTAATATGTTGAACAGTATTGGCTCTGATAGTCCCTCCAGCCCTGTAAGAACAACCACAAGTCTTAACTAAACACTACAAGCTTTGCTGAAAGGATTCTGTTATTCTTACACCCTGCCAAAATTTTCCAGCTAAACTTCTCTCCAGATATATTTGCCAAATGTCTTTACAAGCAGTTGACTTAAATATATTCCCTTTACTTAACTGGCAGGGAAACAAACGTACGAAACAGGCATTCATACAGGCTGGAGCAGCTCTAGGAAGAGATGATGCTTTTTGGGTATTTCCAAAATAACGACAAATACTTTAGGGAACACAGAAGCAGAAAACACCTGCTGTTTCGGTCTCAGTTACGTTCAGTTGTTTTGCACAGCTCTGACACCAGACGGGTACCTTAAAGGCAGTACGGTTTACACTTAGGATTTCTTTAGGTCCCCTCTACATGCCAGAACAGCGTGAAGAGCCCGACCGAGGAGGAGGGCTGCAGCTTGTCTCCAAGGCACTTCCTACCAGGTGAAGTTAGTGTTTCTGCACCCCTCGCCCTAACGGCAGGGCAATAAAGCCAGAGCCTGGGAGGCTGCCTTGTGCCTGAGGATGGGGACATTAGCACTAACCTCCTGCCAGCATCAATGAAGCAATTTAAGCTTTAATTAACGGTGGTGCGTGTGTGCCACCGACAGGGACGCGTCCTGCGGCGCGTCGGAGCTGTTGGTGGCGTGTGGGAGTGACGGGCGGTGCGTGTTCCAAGCTAATTGATTTAAACGCTTCCTTAACGCCCACCACTCTCCGTAGTTCCAATTACAACGTTTCACGTTGGTATTTTACAGCTCCAGCAGCAGAGTATGTTTTCACTGGCATTGTCACAGTTCCAAGGGCTGACAGCAAATATATCACAGCACAGTCAAAGTGCCCTTCAATATTTATCAGTAAAAACCAAATATAGTCATTATATTCCAAAACAGAGTTGTATTTCTGATTTTTGCAAGGTGTCGGTGGATTAAGCTGGCTGTCTTGCAGAAAGTGTCCCCACAGCTCTTGGAGTAGGACTTCAGTGGGAGGGGGAGGAGGGAGGCCCCGTTGAGCAGCTCTTTGCTCCTGTGAAGCGAAACCGCAGCCACCCGCGCTCCCGCGGCGACGAACGCTTCTCGGTGGCAAACTCTGCACTGTCTCTTCTCGTGTAGTCAACAGTGCTCTGCTCTGTCCTCCGTACTACGCAAAGCTGAAGCGGCTCCAAGTCGTCCTCTTTGAAGTGTTCAGCTCGGCCATGGCCGGAGGCGGGTCTGACTTGGAGCCCGGGGAGCTTCTAGCAGCTTCTCACAGGAGCCACCCCTGTAACCCCTCCTCTGCTACCAAAACCCCACCACACCAACCCAAAACATTTCCCCACGTACTTTTATGTCGTCCAAGTGCAGGAGTTCCGCACCGGTCTGTGTCAGGCAACAGGCCAAATCAAGGTAATCTGTGAGGCCAGCCCCTGCGTTTCCCACCTTACAAGGTCCAAGGTGGAAACGAACAGGACTTGAAGTGGCCTCATGTGCACCTCTGCCTACCTGCTTCAGTAATGCCTCAGCTCGGATTGCTCTGTACCCCATTATGGAAGTTTGTAAAAGAGAATTTATATCCCCCCCCTTTTTTTTTTTTCAGTGGAAATGACCCACGGGTTTGGTTGAGATGCTTTGGGGTTTGCGATTTACACTTTAGCTTTAGTTTCACATTATTTCAAAAATTCAGGTTATACAGCGGGAGTCAGAAGTTCGTAAACTGATAATTTTTTTCTGAATTTAAGCATTCTCACAGCATTTAATTCTCGTGTCCTGTGGATAAGACTTCCCAAGCCGCTGAACTGCAATATTCATTTATTGTGCTTGACTTTGTGCAGATAACAGTTCCTCAGGGAAAAGAACAGATGATAAAAACGGGAATGGCATAATTGTGCCGAAGAGAGATGAGCTTGGAGGTGGTCGTCCAGTCCCAGAAACAGGTAAGACCAACCATGTGAATTCTTTTTGCTTTACGTTAGTTTTTCAGTCAGGGCCCACAGCTCCAGACAGTACAGTCGAGAACCGAATAACATACTTCCATGTTCTCAACTGTTCCTGGCCTCTGTGATCATACAGTTCAGTTTCTCAGCATGAGTTGCTCCACGTATTAGCACCTAAGTGATAGACTAGCTGTGCTTTTATAGAAAAAGGTCAGGTTTTCTCTACCAATTCCTCCCTGTATTAAACAAAGTGTAATTTCTCTCAACCTCGTTGTAGGTGCTGTGTTACCCTTAGCCTTAGGCTTGGCCATCACTGCTTTACTGCTGCTCATGGTTGCTTGCAGACTGCGCTTAGTGAGACAGAAGCTTAAAAAAGCTCGACCCATTACATCTGAAGAGTCCGATTACCTCATCAATGGGATGTATCTCTAAAAATCGGATTTAGGTCAGTTATTTTCTCCCCTTTCTCCTGTGTCCATGAACCTCTGCCTCTGTAAAAGGACCAAAACCTTTAGCTAAGTTTCAAGTGTAGAAGCAGCCTGTGAGATGAGGAACATGTTCTTTCCCTTGGGTGATAAAAAAGCAGGTCGATGCCCGTGCGCAGGAAACAAGCAGCGCTCAAGCTCCAGTCGGCTGTTGTGCAGAAGGAACTGCAAGGTGGGGACATCCAAGACGGGATGCAGGGTGGTCCTCCACGCAGCAGCCAGGGTCCCGGCTGCAGCAGAGTGTGCCCCGGGGCCAGGGCACTGGAGCAACCAAGGCCCAGCAGCCCTGGCTGAGGGCTGGAGGGAAGCCTGTGCCACCCTGCTCTTCTCAGTGCTGCCACCGCTGTGCTCCGCCCTGGGGACTGGACGCTTCAGGCCAACGCATCACTGTCCAGCAGAGACTGATTTGTGTACTTTCCACCTGGTGCACTGGGAGTATTTCCATTAAAGAATTTGCCTTGCTTTGTTAAGGAAAAGCAATCGCTGTCTAAGCACCAGCTTTTGTAACAAAATTTGGGATTTAAGGAACAAAGCATCTCTTTTCATTCCTAGTTTAAACCCCTGTGCAGCTAACAGAGTCATGCTTACTAAACACTAAAAGGAAAAAACACGAGTCCTCAGCGGATGAGTTCGGACGCACGTGCAGTCCCAGAGCTACGTCCCTCCCCGGAGCTCAGGGCTTGTTCAGCCTTTTCCACCCTTAGCTCGACACCCTTCGCAGCCTGAGAGAGAAACACACAGCGGCTTTTACCCGAGACGCCGGAGCGTAGCGTTCCTGCTGGTTATCCCATAGGTCCCTGCAAAGCTCGAAACCTTTGGCGACCTGCCCTCCCGCTAGCAAAATTCTCATAGAATTAGAGCAAGTAATTGGTACGTGTGAGTGAACTTCAGATGTGTTAACAGTAAACCTGTACAGTACCTGTTATATATACATACGTGTATACGCACACCCCGTGCTGTCTGTCTGGTCTGACTGTCCGAGGATGTCACATTCGTCACGGGTCCCAGTCCAGAGAGAGGCAGGTGAGGCGTACGTCTTTTCATATGTCGTCTTTTGTACTTCAGTAACTTCCCGTCAGCGAGAACATTGCCATGGTATACAAACAGTTCTTCGAGTTGCTCCGTCTTGATTACTTTATGTAAAATAGCTCTAATAAACCTATTTTATTCTTACTTTTCTCGCATTGCTTTATTTTCAGCTACCAGCTGAACTTTGTGCTACGAGACCATCGCATGAGAGCAGGCAGAAGGACATTGCTCCTCTCTGTGAAACAGCCTTAAAAGAAGCTGGAGCGTGGTTGGTGGGGGGCGTTGTGACATGTTGTTGTAGGAGGACTGAGAAGAACAAGGCAATACCTCCACAGCCCGTCTCTCGAGCAGTCCTTGAACTGTGCAGGACAGCAGCCGCAGAGCTGGCTGTGCCCACCACTCTGGGAGTCCGGTTGCCAGCGCTCCTTGCTCAGAGCCCTCCTGCCACCACGTTAGGCGGGTCTGGTTGTTTGCATTTGAGCGTTAACGCTGGTCCAGGAGATGGATGATGCTGCTGATGCTGCCCATTTCTAACTTGGGAGCGCGGCCTGTCTTCCATCCCAGCCTGCAGCAGGCATGGCAAACAGCGCAAGACCCAAAAGGCCACATTTTAAATACAGCCTTTCTGGGAAAGACGCACTGCCCATCTGTTCGGGGTGTTGTTTCCCATCGTAAAATTTGTTTGGGGTTTAATTAAGTACCTAGTTCTCCTCCACCACCTTACCATAGCAGCAGGAAAGGTCGTCTTCCCTCACTGTGCCCATAGTGTCTCTCTTACTGAAACCCGTTACTCTGGCATGCAGCCAGCAGGAAAACAAAGGGTTTGGTTTTGTTCTTAACAACAGCGAGATCCTGCCCAGAGCACAAGCCAGGCAGTACAGCCATGGTGTGAGCAGCAGCTCAGCTTGCCAGTCGCTTTACCGAACAGGCTTTGTGGCTGTGCTGCTGCGAGGGGCGTCAACCTTCACGGATGTCACATGCAACAGCCAAGAAAACACCTCCAAGCAGAGCAGCAGGCAGCAAGCACAGCACAGGAACCTACCTGTCACTGTGTTCTAGTTGCCACAACCTTCCCCAGGACCCTTCCTTCTACAAGGGGAGCGGGCGGCAGTTGACACTGTGCAGGCCACCAGCCTGCGACCTGCAAACTCCATAGCTAGACTGAAATAAAAAAGTTTGCACCGTCCCACAAAGCCTGGGCACTGTCAGCCAGATGCAAAGCAAGACAAAGCAAAGTAACAGACTGGCTTGGCAGCTCCTGCAATTAATACACTGGCCTCAATAATCACAGA